AGGGCTATATTAAATTCAATGGAAGCGTAAGGCTTATTCATATCATTATTTGAAAATCCATCTATCACTCCATCACGGCCTTAACGAGATAGAAAGAATAAACCATATATGATCTGATTGTAGTCTCGAAAACCTACTTATAGTAGGATTATTAAGAAATAAGTACTAGTCACGAAGACTGCAAAACTTATAATATAGGAGAGAAGATTAAGTGCTGACTTATCGCGTGTCTAGAGATTCCGAAGTATGTAATCCACAATGTGTCACCTTTCAATGATGTGTTCGCACATTATCAGACCATTTTCCACCAGGATCACTAGTGGGCAGTATCAGATGAGAGTACCCAATAGGAGGCAAGGCTAGGTGAAATACAGTGACATCTCAACTTATACTTTAATCATTTTGTAGAAATTAAGTTAACAGCTCTTGCTAAAAGCCAACGAAATCACAGAAGTAAATAGAGTTTAACTCGAGCACTCGTGTTGTGTAGAGTATTTTTAAACTTTAAATTATATAAACTTCAGTCTTAGCCTGACATACTTATTAATATTTTGTGTATCTATGGCAGAATAATTTTGATTAGCAGCCAGTGCAAAACGGTCTTCTTCATATATGACAATAGTCACACTTACCTTTGTAAGATGCAAAATCTCAGCGCAGCACCTAATGTGTGATCTTCTCCATAAAAAGTGAAAGTCGCCACGCGGCCATCAAGCGATTGATGAATTAAGTCAAGGCCAACCTCGCGACCATTCAGAAATGCACGCTTCCCTTGACTCTCTGCTAGTGAACCTGAGGTCTAAGAAATAGTAAAGGATAAAAATGAGATATGATTAAACTAATCCCGATTTGAAAGCTAAAGATCGAGCATTAGAAGGTGTGGATTATAAAATCACAAACGGTTAAACCCGTTTTGCAGCAATGAATGCAATCCCAGATGTCTCGCCGGCACCATCGTGAATAGCCGTCAGAAGAGTGATTGAAAGTACTAAAAATCGACACAGGAAAGGTTGTAACTGTATTTGTGAGTTTTTTGATTGTCCTCTTGGCTACCATTCTAACGAAGATTCATAATAAGTCCTAGTTCCGTGAAAATTAATCGAATAGTGCTTTTATGCAAAAATGATAAAAATTAACGAAGAACGGCAGACAGGCAAATTGCAAAACCTAGAGGAACAATTCCAGCCATCTGCAGCCGAAATAACCACTCATCAACAAGAATATATATTAATACCAAAGTTAAATAACATGTTGCATTAGTTCCTTATGTCCAAGATTCTTAAAAGCGATAGACATGAATTGAAAGGGATAAATTATACCAAAAAGATATAAGTGATCGCTAAACAGTAATTCACAAGTTCGCAAGTACTTATAGGGAAAAAGCAATAAAATGTGCTTTAAGTTATATTGGAGGGTGACTAGTTCCAAAGAGATTATTGGCAAAGGGAATCCTATCTTTGAACGTGTTAAGCCAAGGAGAATAAGCGTAAGTGGAATGGTTACATGAAATTCGATGGTAACGTGGAGCCTAGTTACGCCATCTTGGGCGAATTTGGGTGACTAGAAGCCTTAAACAAGATGCACCGATATTCTTAAAACCTATTCAATGTATTTTTAAACTGTGTTACATGAGATTATTGTTAGGACTTTCATTTCACGTGGAAGTGTATGAATAAGAGATTCGAAGGTCGATCTCACCAGAAGAGGACGGTTGAATCCCGCTGTACTTCAGCCGTTCTCAAGTTAACACTTGTAAATTTTATAAGAATGAGTTCTAACTCTGACGATTTCCATCATATGATGGACGAAAACTCAGCCTATTTTCACATGAAAAGAGGTCTCGTGGACTGAGTCAATATCAACGTCGTATAAAAGCCAAAGGGCTGCGGTACAACGAGATTCAGCCGTCCTCTTGTGGCGAGATCGACCTTCGAATCCCTTCTTTATACACTTTCATACGAAATGAAAGTCCAAACAATAATGTTATCTCAGGAGTTTCATCGAAACCCAGTTACTCTTCATTTCTACATGAGGTTGCACAACTTTTCACTCCCTAAAATAGATAAAGGATCACATTTTTATTCTAAACCAGCCATTTTTGATTTGAAGGAATGCATTCTAAATGAGCAATATCGAATAAAATAACGACTTTGAAACATAATAGATCGCTTTAACTATGTTTTTTTAAGGCTAACGCTGAAAGGACAATAGGATTGAAGATAATAATCGCAATAGCACGTCTTACACTTACTAAGAGTAAAAAAGAATGATGTAAATATGATAATCTAAAGTAAGATTTTTTCTAATGATTACCTGTCCTGCACTGGTCTCGTCAAAATCAGCAAAATTCGAGTCCGAGAATCCAGGACTGCGTATAATAGCCAAATAGTGAGCACATTTGCATAGCATTATATTGAAGGCAGCTCTTACTATACTATGTGGAGGTCGAAACGAGGCAGACGTGGTTTCTACTTGAAAAATTATGTGATTTGAATCTATTCCTGCTTCGATTCCTTCTCTAGTTTCAAACTCTAGAAGCCGCTCGTAGTCTCTAGACCCATTGTCTAAGCGTTCCTGAGCAACACGCGCGACATGGTCCGGATAGTCTATCTAGTTTAAAATAAAATAAGCTATTACAAATATGAGCCAATGGAAGCTAATGAAGTCTAACTTATTTCAACTATTACAAACTGATTATTAAATTTTAGAAGTAACTCTTAAGCTAAAATAACAAAAAGGAAGGAACGCCATCGTTTTAAATCTTGTAAGATACTCCGAGGAAAAAATAAAGACAATGAAGATAGGCAGTCTAAAATTCGTTATACTGAACATAAGGGAAGAACTTAACTTCTAGACATTCCATAAGTTAGACTTAAATGAAGCAACAATAAATAAAACTCTTTTTTAACTTAATTTTTCCAGACTGTGCTAACGAACTTATTAGTTTGACCAAACTCATTGAAGGAACATAAAAATTCGCAAGTTGCGGAATGATTATCGAAATTACTTAATACAAGCAAGATTATACTGCATAACCAGCAACTATGAAATAAAAATCCGGCCCTATTATGAGGATAGATAACGTTATTGAGGAGCAAAATGGTTAAGGTAGGTAGAACGTGTAAGAAATGTACAAGCCACGGACCCTAGTATGAATGATAAGTATTTTTTGTTAAAATCAAAAACCAACCTCAATTACTCCAGGCACAAAAGACGCTTTTAACTTTTCTGCCTCTTCACCCTCCACAGGACGAAGAATACGAATCCGGGAATGGAATTTATAAAAAGCAGCAGAGACTGGAGAAAACTTAGCGTGGTCTCGCCCAATACCTTTAACAGCGACACACGTGGCTATAACTTCATCGCCTGGGGTCATTTTATTAAGAAGTATTGTTTGCGAGACCGGAGAAGGGCTATTTTCACCGAAAATACCTTCCTGTCCTTGTATAGGAATCCATTTTAGATCTGAACTGTAACAAACAAAATAGCTGATAGACAAATAGGCAAAAATAGTGTATATAACATAAGCTTCAGAGCCAAACAACCTATATATGGGTCTCGAACTGACGGAATTTAATACATTATCTCCAGAAG